GATTTTAAAAGGAATTTTCAAGCTAAAGAGATGGCTTAGGAAGTAAAATACATGAGAATCTGATGCAAGGCAGTTTGGGATTGAAACAAATAAAATGAGAAATTAACCTTCCTTGCCAGTGAATACTTACAAAGTCTATTGTTCTAAAAATGAGACAGATCTCAGCAACCTATGCTTCCAGTAATTTCAGTAACTCTTTTTCTCATTACACTATTAGAACTGAACCGAGGTCCTCAGTCATGCTAGACAAGAGCTCTAAGTTATAAGCCCAACACCCTTCCTCTATAATTAAAAAAGGAATAAAACAATAACACAAAGACCTTTACATGTGAAACTGACTTTCCCTGGCTAGCCTTGAACTTGGGATCCTCCTGTATCAGTGCCCTTAGCAGCTGCTATTAAAGGTCCGTTCCACCAACCCTAGCATAAGATTATTTAGCACCATTTGCTAAGTGAAGTCTGGACAAAATTTGAAGGGTTCCCTCCAAATTTTACTCAGAAAATGGTTTGCCTCTATAAGAAGTCATACTTGAAGAGACTATGGTTCCCTTCCTCTTTGGCCCCTGCCCCATGAAACAGTGTGAGCACATTCCTACCTTCCCTTCTCAGCAGCCCTTAGGCAAGTGAAGCAGGTGAGGGGTGACAGACAGCTTACCTGAGACATCTGGACTTCAGTGTCTCCCTTTGCCCCCAAGAGGACCATAGCCAGAGCAGAGGAGATGCTCATGGGAGAATAACAGACATTTTCTGAAGGGTTGTTTTCACAGAGCATCTTTAAAAGATGGATGGCAAAGTTGCCATTTGCTTCAGACAGAGTATTCATGATGCATAGTCTGGAAACAAAGGAGAAATGGTACTCAACACAGCGCTGAAGGTTCATTGACCTGACTTAGGGGAATCTGAGACTCTACTCTTGGTTCTCATTCAAAGCTCAAAAGTACCCAAAATTGGGTTTTAAAATTCATTCTTGGTCACACTCCTTCCAATCTTAGGATTATTATCTAAGTGTGGTCATGGCAACAGACCAAACTAGTGTCTGTGTCATCCACATAGGTAGAGGTCAGATCATCAGGACTGCACACAGGACCCAGCTGAGAGAGGTGGGCTCCAGTCTCCTTCCATACACACCAGCTCCTCTCTCTGAAGATGGTGGCCTGGAGGATAAATAGGAAGAGGAGGAAAAGAGGAAAGGAAGAAGAAAACAGACATGAGCATCCAGGTCCTCTAGCCTGGCTTCAGCAAAGCTGCATTCTGTGTCAGCCTGTGAAGACTCCTCTGAGATGTCCAGGTGTTCATTAGACAGAACCTCTGCATTTGCAGCTGCTACAGGACAGACATGGAGATGCTGAATGAGACCCGAAGACAGGCTGGTGTCACCAGCCCTGCTGTGCAGCAGGAAGCATCCACCTGCAGTGGCTGCTCAGGAGGCCTTGATCAGGCAATGGCACCAGGCTGTTTGTCTGTGGAGCATACCTCACTCCCAGATGAATGGACAGCTTGGCCCAGACTAAGTGACTGCCCCTGCCACAATATCCCAAATCTGAGTCCCTGCACATCCCATGGCTGTGCTCTGACTCTCATATGACCTTTGAACACTGGAAGTGTGTTCCTGAGCACTTTCTACAGTGCTTTAATGCCGATCAAATAGTCTAGGGAGTCTCAGATCATCATAACCCATACTTTTCTCTCCCCAGAGAGATGGGCACATAATCCTGGAAGCGTGCATAGATCCTGTGACTTCTCCTCTTTTGTCACACAGGGTTCTTGAGGAAAGTTGGGGTGGCTTTATTTAAATGACTGACCTTCTGGTTGGTCTTCTCATCTGACCTAGCTCCCACCTCTACATTATTGCTCATCCTCATGTCCCTTTAAAATGGCTTCTGAATCCTTGAAGTGCTGTTCATTCCACCCAGAAGGTCATCTACCCCCTCTCTGTCACTGAGTCCAAACGACTCACCCTTCCCTCCTTCATTGGGACAAGACCACCTCAGGGCCTCATCTCTTTACCACTTCTGATTGTAATTCTTTCTCTTACAGTTTGTTGTCTTCACCACAGTTAGTGCTCTCTGAATGAAAAGGAGATGTCTGGCACACCATTCTAATCATCTGTGAGCATGCTCAGCATAAAGAATGGTTTGGGTCCATGTCCAGTCAATATGGAGTCATGTGTTTCTATGATTAGAATGAAGAGTGCTCAGATTGGAGTAGAGCCTTCTGATCTTTACAGGGCACAGAGGTAAGAGAGACATGAATTCACAGATACTGGAGGAGAGGGCGGACATAGTCAAATGGACTAGGTGGTAGGACCTGAGAGGAAGCAGGACAGAGGACAGTGGAGAAGGCCCCTGAGACCCCCCCTCCAGCACATATGCCTGACAGAGAAGGGCCAATAAAACTTCAGGACCCCACCTCTAAGACCAGCCTCACTGCCTATGGCCTTCAGGTTTTTAGAGAAGTCACCTCTGTGAATGCCCACCAGACACCACCTGCCCTCTGTCACTTTTACTAACACTCAGGTCCTAGGGTTCTTTCCCCCGGACTTAGGCTGGACCTTCTAATCCTAGACCCTGCAGGTCTCACAGCCTTGGACTGAGCCAGTAGCCCTTACCTGCCAACTTGCAGCCTCCCAGTGCAGTGTTCAAGGCTTGATGCTCCTGGAGTGCAGCTTAGCAGCCTGTCCTGTTCAGAAAGGCCCTTTATTCACTGCAGGAGGTTGACATCATGCTCAGAGCCCCAGGCCAGAGGAAGAGAGACTGGCCTGACCTCTTCCTGCTCTGTCCTCAGCAGGGTGGGGATGGATGGGGGTTAGTGAACACCTAGGCCCTAGAGAAAGAAAAACTAGTGGGATCTTGAGTCTTTGGTTGGCAGTCGCCAAGGGAGAAGGATTCCCAGGATGCCAAGAACACATGAGAGTTGTTCCTGATCTCAAGTCTCCATCCATAGAAGGGACTCAGCTGTGAAGGGGTGGCTCCTGGAGTCCTTCCTGTTAGGTCTGCACTAGTGTAGACCCACATACAGAATCCTGGTGCTAAGTTCTAGAAGGGACTTTTCTAACTGCAGACTGCTCCATTTGAAGACTTCTCCTTACAAAGTAACAGAAATAGACACCGAGGCAAATTAGTACAGGAAATCATGTCCTCTATTCCTGAACATGGATCACTGTATTTTCATGCCCTGCAGAGACTTCCTTAAATTTGGTCTCTTAAGTGTCTCAGCTTCTCTAATTTTTATAATTAAAATAATGTATTTTATGTGTGTGGGTGTTTTACCTGCATGCATGTCTGTGCACCATTTGCCTGCCTGGTACCCACAGAGGTCAGAAGACTGATTTCCTGGACTAGAGTGTTGCTTACATCCTTGGGATGTCTGCTCCTGACCATGCTGATGTCAGCTTAGGAACTATGTCCCAAGACACACACGTTTATATCAGAAACCTTTGGTCTCAAGGAACTGATTTGTCCTTTAAAGCATACATTCAGTGTCTTTTAGTTTACTTTTCAGAGCTATGTGACAGTCATCACCATCCAGTTCTAGATCCTTTTGGTAAGTGACAGAAAGAAATGGACTGCCCATTATCAGTGTCTATTTCCCACACCTACCCTTTTTTCCTGGAAAACACTAATCTTTTTTCTGCATGTTTTTCACAGTTATGAGCATTTCTTATAATGGAAATATGTGGTCATGTGTGTGGTCTTCTTTTCTAACCTGGTGTTTTCTATACCTTTGCTTATTGGTTCAAGGTGTCAGAAACTTGGGAGTGAGCCACAAACATGCTACATTGTACCACCCAAAGTGGGTTGAGTTCTTTTCAGAAACCTAGACTCACGTGAAGGCACACTTTTTGACTCTGCCACAGAAAGGAATTTCAGGATGACCCAGTATGAAGTAGAATTGGATTTATTAAGAAACAAACACATATATATTTAAACACAATAATAATATACAGAGGGGCCCCAGTAGGCAAAAAAAAGGATGAGACACACCTAAGCATACAGGTGTCTCCAGGGAGAGCATGGCTTCAGTGTTTTAGCGGTACCTACAATGTGGCTTTGGTGACTCTCCAAAATCAGATCATAAAAAGTTGCTAAGAAACCTTCCTTTCCCCTTTTTACTTAACAGAAGTCCAATATTTAACTGGTGGAGTATTTAAGGACAAGCTTTTAAAACATCAACAATTTAAGATATATGAGACGAAGATACATAAACAGAACTTCAACATAGTAAGTTACCTTGGGGATCACCACCATTAGAGTCTTCACAGACACACTAAAAGCTCACACTGTCTACAGGATCACACATGTAGTTCTCCCCAAGGTCAAGGTTCCAATTGGCTGAGCCTGAGAGCTCACTCAATTTCACACTATCTGTGACACACTCAGTCTAAAAAGCTTTCCTCTCTATGTGCTCTCCTTCCTGGCTTATGGACGGCAGTTTTTCATCAATCTCTTCCTCCCAGAAGCTTCCTGGTGCCATTTCTTCCCCAGGGTGCTCATTTTCTGTTGCTTGGCTCCATGTTTCCACAGAGGCTACTCACTCCCCTTGTCTTCTGACCCTGACCTAGCAGGGAGTGACAGCAGCTGAAGGGACAGAGGCTTCTGGATTTCTGTCTCATCTTGCTTGAGGGAAGGTTGGCTTGCTTACGTGCAGAATCTGCTTCCTCAGTCACCCTGTGTTCTCCACCCCAGGGGGATTTCAACCGTCCCTTCCTCTAGCTTCTCCAGCTCCTCTGCTTTGACCAACAACTTCTGACCATCTCCTGTCCTTTCTTTTTGTTAGAGTTGTGGGGGTCTCCCCACAGTACTGTAGTGAATCCTGTTCTTCTTCTAAAGGACAGTCAAAAGTGACTACATACATCGAAAATCCACCAAGGAAGAAATAAATGCATCAAGTTCCAGTCTCAACTTTTCAACTCTCCATTAAGTGAGCAGCCATATCAGCAGACGGTATGCATCAGGTTCATAGAAAGACTTCTTTTTCTTTCTCTCCTTCTCTTTTTTCTCTTCTACTTTCTGTTGATTTTCTGTAGATCCTATACCATGTATTCCCTTCCTATCCACCCACCTGTCACCCTGCATCTATCCTCTGCCCCTGCAACCTCTGCCCCCCAAAACAAAACAAAACAAAACAAAATCCAAAATGAAAGAAAGAAAAATCTTGTCATGGAAGCTGTAGTGTATCACAGTAAGCCACACAGCTTAATCTTTAGTCCATATATCTTTACTTGCAAGTGTTTATTGTAATGAGTCATTGGTCTGGTTCAAAGCCGCTGGTTCCTGCAACACTTTCAGTACTGGACCCTCCTTAGGACTCTTCTTGGATATTCTGTTTTTGCCCTGTGTCATGGAGATCCTGCAGCTTTGGCTCTGCAGGATCAGCCCCTTCATGGGCTCTAGCAGATCATAGATGGGTTGGATGTTGGGGTCGGCCAGCTCATAATCCTGATTCTGGGATGGGGTGGTAGCTGGGTTGGTCAGTCCCCCTCGTTTCCCTCATCCTCACCACCAGAGTGAGCTCTCCAGAACTATCTCCAGTTAGTTCATCCCATGCAACAAGCAGCAAGGGGTGGTCCGGTTCTCCTGCTCTCAAGCCCTCGGGGAGGGCTCACCCACACCTCTACCACCAGGACCAGGCAGGTCTACTGTGTTGCCCGGGAGAGGTGCAGGTGTAGTCAGATTTTTCCTTGGGCCACCAGCTCACAAATAACAACAGGGAAAACTTATTATTAATTATGAAAACTCAGACTTAGATTAGGCTTGTCCCACTAGGTCTTATAACTTAAATTACCCTGCTTCTATTAATCTACATTTTACCATGTGACTTTTT